ATGAGAGAGAGAGAGAGAGAGAGAGCATTATCTTGAAGTATGGATCTGAACCATAACAGTTTGCCAACAAAAACAAAGAATAATGGAAACCCAAGTATGGAAATGAAGCAATTGACTAGTCCCTCAATTTCTCATCTTTATCACTTGGAGAAAGTTACAGCATCTCGTGGCTACAACAACGTTTCTCCTTCATTTGCCTCAGTTTCTCTTTCTACAATATGAAGGGCTCACCAATGTCTTAAAAGATAGAAAAGAATGAAAAAGTGAATTCACCCTGTACCTCCAAAATATGTAAACAGAAGCTTAAAACAACAGGAACCAAGTACACCTATCTCGATCTACAAGCTATAATGTCTTTTCATGTCTCTAAAACGAGCCACTGATTCCCAAGAACTTCCTCTATTCAAAATGCAACGACAAACTGAGAGAGAGAGAGAGAGAGAGAGAGAGAGAGAGATCCGAGATTTGACACTGCAAGTGCAACCTCTCAGGTCACTGAGATTAGACACTGTCACTTCTCAGGACACCTGTTTGGATCGAAAGCTAATCAGGTCCAACTAACGTTTCCCATAAAACACCAATTCTGCCATCCACCAAGTCCAGAAACACCTTCTCTCTGGCACAAACTGTAGTTTCAAGCTAAAATTTAGTTACACCACCCCATTTTACTGAACCCAAATCTAAGGCACCCCTCTCTGCACATAAGACTCCGACAAAATTGCCCTCTGTAAGTCTCTAACTCCACCTTCATCATCATCACTGTCAACTTTTCCATAGGCCATTCTAGTTTGAAAGCTCATCCTCCTCAAAACAAATACATTGAAGTAGTAGCTAACCAGGCTCTCTTTAGTCTTATCATAAAATCTCATGACCAGAGGCATCCAAAACCTCTTTTTCTTAGAAATTGGGTTAAGCCTCACGAGGCTGGTGAAGCTTTGCTCGTCTTTAAGGGTCCAATTCATTGCGACCTCCTCACCCATATCATTAAAGCCCCATTTGTCAAAGGCTGGACCCAACTCGCTCCTTAGCCTTTGCCTTGACTCAGCCACATGAACCCGAGCGCACTGAACTGATCCGGGCTGAGTGCACGAGCATCTATCAGGTCGACCTTTTCCAATCAAACCTTGATCTATAGTTAAGTTTAAGCCTTCTATGGGCCAAACTCGAGTACCCAACCACCTCGAGTCATCAAGTGTGTTCTGTTCATTAGTTGAACGTGCCCGTTTCCGAGATGGCTCGGTCCATTCGGGCACGTCAGCTTGGAAGAATGGGTCCACAGGGACACGCTTCCTAGGCTTGTCGCTGTTGATTTTTAGGTAAGTCATGAGCCTCTGTGATCTTTGAACTGATTGGTTAGGTTGGTCGGGTTTAGTTGAAGAAAGTAAGGAAGAAGGTTGAGAGAGATAATCACGTTGGCTTCTGGTGGATGGTGGGATGGCACGCCTGCTTGATTTCGCTGCCTTTTTCTGCGTTATCGAAGACATGCATACTTTACATGCAACTAACATGATATCATATAAACACGCAAATAACATAGGTTTTGAAACAACCATAACAGAAAAGCAACATTGCATTCGCAAGTATATGTTGTAGATAATGTCATTTTATTGGAGTTTCAGAAAGAAATTTTCCAAGCCCAATTGCATCGTGCATGCAAAAAACACAGTTTGTCTTGTTCAAGTTTGGAAGGAAAAATCACATAAAATATCGACATTTTGATAGCCAGTTTATGTACCAGCAATATGTCCCCTGAAGCGGTTTCAATAATATATTCTTGATCAAGCCTTACTCTACTACCCTGTTCCTCATATTTATTTCAACAACGTTAGGGGATTTTGCATGGTTATATGCTAGTTTGCTATAAGGTGATGGTCATTTTCAGTGTTTGAAAACATGGGCTCAACCTGGGACAAACCAGGGTCCTGAGCCCAAGTCACACAAACTGACTTGGCAAGTCCAAATTGTTTATCAAAAAGTCCACATAATATCTGCACTATAATCCAGTGTTAGAAAGTGCGACTCAGGTAGAGTAATTGGTCCTGGCCCGAGCCGATTGCTGGGACCAAGTCTGAGTAACTCGGCCGAATAGTGCTGAGTACTATAGCAACAAAAAAACGTTAAAACAATTATGAAAAATATAAAAATAAAATCCAAAAAAAAAGGAAGTGTATGTTCCAAGTAAGATTAAGCAAAAAACTTCAAAAATTTTGTTAAAACAGTAAAAATATAGATTTAAAAAATCAACTTCTGACTCGGGGTATTTTTGAAATAATCCAAAAAAGATGGAAAACATAAAAATAAGTATTTATGACCAAAACACTTTCTAATCTTTGCCAAAATGATAGAAAACATAAAAAAAAAATATCCCAAAAAAATATCCCAAAAAAATTTCTTTTTATTTTTAAATTTTTTAGTAATATCCCCGAGTTGGACACCAACTCGGGACAACTCAGGCTCGGCAAGGGCTCGAGCCCGAGAAACTCGGCCGAGTAAAAACTACTTGGCCGATTTTCAATGACTGCTATAAACTATCAAAAGTCATCAGACACCCTCCAAGAGGGAGTTTCACCAACCATGATGGCTTGTTATCATCTTTTCGGCCAAACGAGAAAACTATTATTGTCTACGTCGGAGAAGAGTAATCCAAGTATACTTGTCAGGTTCCTAGGTCACCCACTGACATAAATAAGTGACTACCTCTAAGATATGTTTATTTCAAGTTTTCCCATTTGAGAGATGTTGTGTATGGCATATAGGCGGCAACCAGGAAGAAGAGAGGATAGGCATGGTGTGTTTATGTGGAGGTTGGACTTGATGATGGTGGGGAATTCAGGTTAAAGCCAACACTGCACCAATGTAGGTTAAGGCTAGAATTCCATAAAGCCAACACTACGCAAAACTGGGTTTTCCATGACATCAACACCATGAAGGAATAAGCATTAACAGCTTCAGAGATGGAATAGACACAAGCTTGAAAAGCCAACTTAACCAAGCTATATTTCTATGCATGTTTACAGTAGCCCTTGAAGCTTAATCCTATTTTACTTGGAATACAATTAATCCTGGACTTGACAAAGATCCAATGAAAGGAAAAATAAAAAGGAAAAAAGCAGCTAGAACATTTCACAAAAATAAGAAAACACAAAAATGCCCAAATTAAAACTCATCACTAAACCTAACCTAATTAACTTAAAATTCATAATTAATCTTTCATCAGGCCTCAAGTCAAGCATTGATGCCCGAAACACCCAAAGTAGGAAAAATAACGGAAATAGCAGTTGTTGCTCTCGGAAAGATCTTCAAAATGAGCTTTGGATACCCACAAACAGAACATCTGTGTGAAAAATTATGCCTTTTGGAAGCGGTCAATATCACTGGTTCACTCAAATTTATGGTTCTATTATTTTATAGCTTAAATTTAAAATCAAACAAGCAAAACATGTTGCATGCGTGCTGAAAAGTCCTTGGTCTAATTTTCTGTCAAACTGGACCCACATCCTCAACCACAAGCACACTAGGCCAGCATGGTCAGCCCTTTGGAGACCACCAGACATAAGAGCAGTCAAACTCAATTTTGACGGCTCTTACTTAGGAAACCCCGGCCTGACAGGCGTGGGGGATTTGTTTCGGGACCACTATGGAATTACTCTTCTCTCCTACTCCCTCTCCATAGGACTAGCTGAGTCCACCGAGGCGGAGGCCATGGCCCTCCTAGAAGGCCTTAAATGATTTGATAGCTCTTGGGGTCTCCCTCTCCTGGTGGAAGGAGACTCGCTCAACACCATCTCCTGGGCTTAAGGAGAAGTCCAACCACCATGGAGGTTATGGCATATTTTTTATGCAATCTTCGACCTTTGGCAAATAAAGTACGAGAAATAAAACATAAAACACATACCACAAGAACACAAAGATTTATGTGGTTCACCCCAAGAGAGCTATATCTATGGGCATGACAAACTAAAATCCACTATACCAATAAAAGTTACATCATAGATTTTGGGACATAGAGTTACTTATCTATCCCTCGACAAAACCCAGTCGAACAAACTCTTTTAAACTACTCTCCCAACTGACATCACATGCCCGTTCTTCCTTCTCTTTACTTCTAGCAACCATTATGGACAACACCAAATAAAGTCGCAAGAGCAACGAGAAACTGACTATCTCTAACTAAAAGAAGAAATTACCCAAAATCTCCATGGGAACCGCTTCTCTACAAGAAACCAACCTCTTAATCTTCAGCAATCTACAGGAGGCACCATTACAATTTTTCTCTCCATAGGAAGCTCTCTTTTCTCTAAGGGTGCATTTGTTTTTCTTAAAGATATTTTCTGAAAAGTTGAATGTTTTTAAATCTTTTGCAAAGTTGAATGTTTTGTTTTGGAAGGTTTAAATAAGTTATGGGTACTGTGTTTGATAACGTGCTGGAATGTTAAGAAAGTTCTGGATAGTGTGTTTGATAACATATACATATTAACCATATAAATATAAATATATAACATAATATAATATATTTTATATATTTTATTAATGTATATTTGTATTATATATAACATATAATATAATGTACGATATTTATATATTATATATGATATAATAATATAATAATATAATAATATAAATATTATATAATATAATATGTAAATATGACATATATATTATATAATATTATTCTATAGTAATATTATATTATATTATATTATATTATATTATGCTATAGTAATATTACATTATATCATATTAATAATACTAATATTATGTATTTATATTATGCATAATGAATACTGATCAACAAAAATGTTATGAAAGAACAAGTTCCTACCCCTCCCCCTAGGAACTTAATCTTTCACTTTTTAACAAAGGAATGAGAACTTTTGTTGAAAGATTAGTTTCTGAACTTTTCATGGAAAGTATGAAACAAACGTGGAACTTTTTCAATATCTGAAAGAATACTTTCTGAAATAATACTTTCAGAAAAACAAACACGCCCTAAGAGAAGACCTTGCACCTTATGCACAGGAAGCCCCTACCCCCCTCTCTCTATAGAGGAACCACGATTCCCATATGGTGACCCAAATATGGCACACAAATTCTCTGCTCTTTCATCTCATATATATAAGGTTAGGAATCCACACTAAATAGGAAACTTCCTATAGATATTACATATATCTCAAAAACCAAAAGATATATCCAAGAGTCCTAATCTTTCTAGATTTCTATTTCCATCAGGAAACTTATCAATATCAATCTCAATCCCACATGATATGAGATTTCATTATGTGGGTGATTTTGGATAGCACCAAATCCAAAAGCATGACAGCGGCTCATCACCTCCATTCATTGATAAGTGCGGACAGTGGATGGCCTATGTTAGAACCCCATAGAATACTCACATTGAGTGTAAGATATTTTCCATTTTCCATAATGATACTTGAAACAATGACATTTGCGGATTTCCTATCAACATCTTATGCCTTTTTGGCTTAGTTATAGATGCTCTTAATTCAAATATTTATGTACTCAGTAACTCTAATCGCTCACCACTACAACCTGCAAGATTATACTGGAAGGCATTATTTGGCCCTTAAATGCAGTAGAAGAAAATATCTGCCATCACCATCATATTATAGCATGACAAAGATCATAAGATAGTGATCCATAGATAAGGGGACAGGCCTTATTAGTAACAAAACTATGCAGCTTCTACCTAGGAGTATCAGCTTCTACCTTGAGGAAATGTAATATCCTTTCACCAAAAAAATATTCAAAAATAGATTTCGGCAAAATGATGATTGCAGCAACAAAATAGAGGGCAGTTATCTTAGACAGCGGTTGACACACTAGCACCCCTTTTAAGACAACCCATCACTACACATATATGAGCAACCAGGCTTAACTTAGCATGGTAACTAGCACGTGGATTGGAAAAATAAATGCAATACAGATGATCAAATTTATGAAGGGTTCTTCTGAATGAATAGAATGTTCAATTGTTGATCACCATCCTATCAATGAAATGAGTGCATATGTACATAATTCTTTTATTTTATGTTATGAGACCAAAAAGAAGACATGGCAAGAGAAATGCTTATTGGCCTCTATGTACTATCGATTGGGAATCGTTGAGGCATTTGTACAAATAGGTATGATCCATGTAACCACATAAATTGATCTTGCCACAGTTTAACGATCCTCTTTGGATAATTCATCTGGTCCAAGAATAGTTATAATGTCCTGACGATCTTTGTAACGTTGTAAAGTTTACTCAACTCTTTGCACAGTTTCGTAGTGTTCCTCGCCAACGGTCCGAGGTTGGAGCATAGTTGATGTTGAATCTAAAGGATCTACTGTTGGATTAGCCACCCCTCCGCACGTAGAAAAGGCATAAATAAATCGATCAAATTACAGGAAGCTTCGTTGTTCTAATGACATTCTCATAGCAGTAAAATTTAGGAAATTTCATCTC